TCCTAGTTTAGGTTCTATACATAAGAAAGAATGAAATAAAAACATGCAACAAATAATTTCTCTACAAAATAAAAGTATTAAAATTAAACAATAAAAATAAATATAATGAATTAATTCAATTATTCTATAGATGGTTTATGATTTCGTTATAATATATAACATAGCAAGTAAATTTATTATCCAAGCTCGAGCATACTAGTCAAGTACGGCTTCGTGTCAGTTGGCTAATAAACGCTGACTCTGAGCTTCAAATTTGGCAGGACACGAGTTCAACCCTTGGTGCTTACAGTCTCAAAAAAAATTATACAAATAATTAAATACAAAAATTATTCCCAAGATCACTGATGATGGGTTTCTGGCAATACTCGAAACAGCTGTATGGTCAGCCAAAAATTCAATTAATCAAAATAATTTTTGTTGTTGTAGTTCACTACTTTTCGAAATCTCTCTAATAAATACATAATTTATTTCTTTAACTGGAAATCATAGATTCGTGAAATCTTTATAAAATAGAGTACCCACAACTTCGCCTATTGTGATTATAGGTACGCAATAATAATTGCTTATAATTAAATATAAAGCGACATGAAATTGAACTAATTAAATTTTTATTAAACATACCTCTCCATGTCATGGATAATTACTCACTCCAACTGTTTATCCAAAGTTTATATAAAAACCCAAAATTTGGCAAAACTTGATTTTTAATTATTGAGCAAACTTGCTGATCCGTTGATAGAATGAATCCCATCTATTTATTAGCATCGTATTTTATGGTAAATATTCATTTACTTTTATTAATAATATATTTACGTTTTCAAAAAGTTAGTAGCGACGTATCCCTTAGATTCGGAAGATTGTGAGCTTTACGCGCCAAGCACAATGGTAAGGTGTCACATAAATGATCGAAAATTAGTTCGATGATACTTTTTTTGTACTTTTGAAAAGCATGAATTCTGTTGTGATATACACGATGAAAGCTCCGAATTTATGGATTGTCAAATTGAATGGTCTGATAAGATTCACTACACCAACGACGAACAGGAAATGAATTATAATTTTGTAAGTTGTTGTTGTTGTTCTTTTGCATTTAATTTTATTTAAAATTCAGGCTAATTATTTCCATATGCACAGTGCGTATCTGAATGTGTTTACAATGCAACGCATTATTTGGGTGCGGATCGAAAATCTTTGAAAATGGGACTCATAAAGCAGCATCTGTCAGAATTGCATGGAGATGAAGCATCCGAAGCGCTAATGTTGAAAACATATGAAATGTGTGGCAAACATGGTAATTAAATTATAATTTTCAATTTTTGGAAGCAACTTGTCAACGATGTCAGCCCTAAAAATTGTGAAAACTAATTTTGTTTTTCCAAAAATTAATTTAGCAAAAGATATGTTGGAACACAAGCACGTTAAGGAACTGGCGGAACGTTTAAAGAAATATAATTGTCATGTATATCCCGGTTTAGTCTTTGAATGCGTCTCAAATGAGTTAATACTGAACTGTCCACCAAAGCAATACCACTCGAACGCGCCATGTGATCATGCCAAAGATTATTTAAAATCCTGCCTGAAGCATAAAAAGAATTGAAAGTATTAATTATTGAATTAATAATTAATTTACACAAGAAATTATATGAATTAATAAATAAAAAAATATAATATACAATGAAAGAAAATAAAATAAAATCTTATAATACAATAAAAAAATTATTAATTAAAAAAATAATAAATGAAAAAAACTTATAAAAATAAAATAGTATTGAAAATAATTAATAAAATAAAAAATATAATATAGTAAATAAAATAAAATTATAATATCATAAATAAAAAATATAAAATAAAAGAAAACAAGACAATAAAAAATAAAAAAATAATAAATAAAATAAAAAATATAATATAGTAAATAAAATAAAATAATAAATAAAAATAATAATAAAATAAAAGAAGACAATGCAATAAAAAATAAAATATAATTAGCTCAGCCAAACAAAAACAAATATTATTATAATTAATATTATTATTATTATATTATTAATAATATAGCAAACAAAAATTATAAATAAAATAAAAAATTTTTGCGCTATTATAAGTCAATAAATAATTATGTGTATTAAACTACATTAGATTTTTATATGAGTTTTGTAATATCATGTATATTTTATATTAAAGTCTTCCGAGTACTTGTAAGACTTTATCAATGCTGATGTTTTCAATGCCTTTGACAATATTTTTATTATGTATAAGTTTCCTAAATTGTCTGGAAACTAATATCAAAAATATATAGATATAGATTATACAGTTTTGATATGCATGCTTACAAATATAGGATTAAAACAGTTTGGTTGGTGAATTGTAGTATCAGTTCAATAGATATTCTTTCACTTACCATTACTATTTGAAAAATTTATTCGATTATTCGCCATTTTTTTATCGCATTCCCCGCAAGGAATCTAAGAGATAGAAACTACATTCATCCCAATGAATGTAGGTAATTGAATACTTCTGTCGTCCTTATCGAAGAACAGGTCGACAAACTATCAAAGGCATATTTCCCCAATATGGTTATTTCTTCTGAAACCCAATGATAGGCAGTAATAAAGAGAATTTTGATTGTCGCATTCTCCTATAAATTTCTTTAAATTTAGGTAGGACATTAAAGGAATCCGCAAATTAAATGCTTGAATTTCTTCATTCCAGTGATTAGAGAGGACAGCAGTAAGCTTTATAACATTTATGCATCCAATATCTGGTCATGTTATATGATGGCCGGTTCAACCGGTTAGTTAAGTGTCGTCCAATTATTATTGATAAACTAAAGAAAATAAAGGTAACTACTTCTTTAAACGATCAATAACAATAGCAATACTCAATATGTCCTTTAGGCGACTTGGGATTAGCTGCTAAAAGTTCAGCTTGAAAAACTATCCGAATTGCGAGAAAAGTCCTGATCATTTATTAATTCTAACATATTAATAACAAAAATTAAATGTGGCGCACACAAACTGCCTATTTCAGTCCGTATCCCTTTAGGTTTGGTAGCTTACAACGATGATCGATTGCAACAGTGTTTATCTAAGTTGACCTGGTCAATGACTAACATATCGATTTCAATGAAGAATGATGTTAAGGCCATCATGTACCAAAATACTTGCAATTTTAGGTAGATGTTATTTGTAAATTTCCAAATCTATAGAGCTATAGAGTAGAATTAGCTATACGTTATTGCTAATATTTGGAGTCCTATAGGCATTGACATCAAACTTTCTACAAAGACTTGCATATTACACATTATTTATCAATCATAAAAATTAAATAATTCTACTATAAAAAAGACGAGATTAGTTATATCAAATACTGACGATATTTTACCGATTATTTATATAAATATTATAACAGCTTATAATTTGTGTTCATAATTAATAGCTTTAAATTAATAACCATTTCAAATCAATGCTTTATCATCATTTTTGAAAATGTGAACTTCACGAATAATGGAAATAAAGTAGCATATCCAGTGGCATATCCAAGAAGAAGTGGGTCTTAGAAGATAAAACCCTCTTTGAACTGCTCGAACAGTTCGAGTATACTTGAATTCCAACATTTAGATCAACAAATTCAGAAGTTTGGAAATGCTCGATAATATTTGAGGTACTTGAACTGAAAATGTTACGTTTTGTTTTTGTTTTATTTAATGAAAATATACAAAACAACATATACTCGATCACCATATAATGTTCAAATATATATGACCGGCTCGCTGTTCTCGAGATAATTGCTATCATCTATCATCGTCATCTTCTATTTATCGATGTGACCTGTCTGTGTTTACAAAGTTTCATTCAAAATTCAGAAACTAATTTAACGACATCCAGGCACACAGACGTCGATAATTTGATTAGCAAGTTACGACATTAGTATAAAAATGTATATGATTTATATATAATATATAATATATATATATATACATATATATATTATGTATATAATTTTTTCATCAATAGATTTGAAACATATTAACAAACTTAGCATGTGAAATTTGCTAAAATTTCACCACACATCTCAAATTTGCTCAAATTTAAATAAGCAATCGCAAAGGATTCATATATATTTGCTTAAATTTCAATCCGCTAAATCAACTATTCTGTTAACTTAGTCGCG